GTTGAAGGGGTATCGGTTCCCTTGAATGGGTACCGATTCCCCTAACCCAGAAATCCTATTTGAGCCCAGAAATCATCTAATTTCAGCTCAAACATACTTATTTCAATCCCTTTAACACTCTTAGCTCTCATACACTACTTAAACTAATACTATCCATTCAATACCTCTAAAACTAAGAAAACTACTCACCATATAGAATTGAAGAATTTACTCCAATTTCAACTTGTTCTAATTTCAATTCTATTACTTCATACTTCTTAATTAGCTTATTGACAAGTCAAAAATTGATTTAAACATCAAAAACTCATCCATATCAAAATTTCATCTAAAAATCATTTCCAAATCATATCTAATCACTTATCTTGTTGTTTTAAGTCCTATAAGGTTTCCTTTATCTTATATAACATACAAACTTTCATTTCCAATCTTAACAATCAAAGAAACTACCAAGTTCAGTTTCTTACCTTTAATTGCAAACCCACGTTGGAGAAGGAAGAGAAGAAACTAAGAAAGAAGGAATGAGAGTATTCTGGAACCTAATACTCCACGTGGTCTCATATATCCCATAACATCTATTTTAATAAAATTTCCTTCCAAATGACCATTTGGTCCCTACCTCATTTCATATTACTAACCTTTATTTTTAAACTATATAATCATTCTACTTTAATCCCCAAATGTTGAAACTTTGCAAATCAATCACTCACCCGACATGGAGGATGTTACACCACCGATCATTTATTTAAAACAAATGGGTTGATCGGATACCCTATTTCTTACCTGATCTGTGTCTTTCCAAAGACGTGTCGGGTTCGGGAGTCGGTTACGGTCAAGGAATGATTAGCATCCTTGAACCGCCCTTTCGGTACTACGTAATTTCCAGTTGTCTTTGATTAAGAAAATTGCAAGTTAAATTAAAAGGTAAAATTTGATCCGAATTACTTACCCTTAATGAGTTTACGGAAATACCCTTAAAAATAAGATGTTAAAAGAAAATAATAATAATAATAAAAGAAAATAACAAAACTAAAGAGTAAACCAAGGAAATAAATGAAACCAATAATAATAAACATAAAATAATTGGATGAAACCAAAACAAATAAAATGAAATTGAATAAAATAAAATAAATGAAGATAAAATATATATACAAAAAGAATAAAAAAGGTAAAGTATTTTTTAAAATAAGAAAAATAATAATAAGAGCAAAGAAACTAAAAATATAATGAAAATAAATAAATAGTATAAATAAAAATATTATATATATATATATATATAAATGTATGTAATATAATAAAATACTAAATAGTAATAATAATAAATAAATGAAAATAAATATACATATAATATTAAAAAAAAATAGTAATCATAGAAATATAAAATAAAATGAAGTAAGAATATATATATATAACGTTAGGAAAATATAATAAAAAAATAGTAAATAAGTAAACATAGATAAAATAATATATATATATATATATAATAAGAAAATAATATAATATAAAGAAAAAAAATGAAAAAGAAGAGAATTATAATAAATAAATAAAATATAATTAAATATATATATATATACATATAAATAATAAGGGTTAAATTAAAACAAAAAATGAATTAGGGGTCGAAATTAAAAGACAATTGAAGAAAAAACGAACCTGTGTGTATTTAAAATCAGGGGGACCGAAATGGGCATTAACCCACTGTAGAGGCAAAACACACGAATCCACACGACCCGTTTATAAAAATCCGAATAGTTTTTCAAAAAAAAACACAAGCCTCGGGGGCTAGATCTACAAAAATAGATCTCGAAAACGCCCCCGTTCATTGGCAAAAAACACTTCTCTCGGTTTTCTTTCGAATCAAAACACAACAAGGGTAAGGAAAAATAACATGCGAAAGTATGAACTTTACCTTTCAAAATATAAATGCTTCGAAAAATGGCTACGAGTTGCTTGTAATTTTTTGCTTGGTATTTCGTATATCTCTTTCGAATGTGTTACAATAGTGAGTTACAATGACTATTTATAATGCTTGTGGATCCTATCTTTAGGAGTTTAAATAATAGTAGAACTCTATCATATTTTTAGGAGTTTGAATCCTAGCAAAATTATATCCTATTTTTAGGAGTTTGAATCTTAGTAGGACGAAAAGGTGTGTTGACAAGTTCAAGTTTCAATATTATATTTCGAGTTCGAGTTGAACTTGATAATTTTTAACTTGTGAGTTTGAGTGGAGTTGAGCTTACTTTTAAAGTTTTCAAGTTCGAGTCGAGCTCAACAATACTCGAGTTCGACTTGGCTCGTTTAACAAACGACGTTTGGTTTAATTTTTTAAAAAAAAAACAAATTTTCTGGTTTTCAACCGGTCCGGTTCGAACGGTTCAGCGGTTCTGACCGGTTCACTAGTAGCGGTTTAACCGATTTAGATTGAACCGGACTAGGCAACGGTTCCTGGTTTAACCGGTTGAACCGGCCGGTCCGGTTTTCAAAATAATGTTAACAAGTCGGATCATTTACAGGTCAGGTTAAAACAGGTCAGGTTAAAAACAGATCAGGTTAAAAACATGTTAGGTTGAAAACAAATCAGGTTGAAAACAGGTCGGATAATACCAGTTATTTACCAGGTCAATCTCGGGTTCGGGTTCATATCAGTTAGATGCAGTTCGGGTTCGGGTATCATATTTTCGGTTCAATTCGGGTTCAGTTCGTTCTCAGGTCGGATGCAGGTCGGGTTCGGATCCACAATTTTTAGATCCAAATCTTGTTCAGGTCAACACCAGTTTTGACTCGAGTCGGTTTCGGATCGCCATAGTGCAGATCAAAAACAATTTTGACTCGAGTCAATTTCAGTCAGTTTTGCAGGTCGAGTCAGGTTTTTTACGGCCCTAGTATTGAGTTTTGAGTTACGTCTTCAAATTAAAAGACATCTCACCCATAAATGAGGATATTATACTTCATTTAATTAAATTATGGGTTTGATGAAAGGCATTGTAAATGCATTGTTGTTTAATGTATAATACGTCTTTAATGAAAGTGCTCCACTTTGCATATAATTTCCAAGCAAACTGATCTGTGCTCCACTTTGCATATAATTTCCAAGCAAACTGATCTGTGCTCCACTTTGCATATAATTTCCAAGCAAACTAATCTGTGCTCCACTTTGCATATATGTAGTTTCAATAAAGGCATATTCCTTGGCTTCCGTGCCTCGAGCATATTGTTCATATTTAAGTTTTCAATTGAAGTCTATGTGATCCTAATACTAGCGAAGAGTCCTTTTAACATTCAGAAGTTCCAAGTTTAAATTATGCGATCCATTGTCCGTGTTTGAAAGTGAAAGGTTAAGGGAGATTAATATGACTGAAATAATGATTGGACAAATAGGTCAGGTAGCTTTTATCTAAGATGCTAGCATGCAATTTAACTATCATTCCAACAAAAAAAGGATTATGGTACTCCTTTTCCTTTTATACTACTCACAAAATTAATTAGGGAACTATTGAATATTTGAAATGTTCAAAACTGTCTATTACACTATAATCTGAATTACTAAGAGAAAATTATTTACGTGAATCTATATGCAAATTAGGGCATTATAAGAATTAAATTAACTTGCATTAACCATTCCTATGTTCTAAAATGTTGCTGCAAGTGCCTAGAAAACAATTTTCCACGAACAATTGCAATTAATTCCGTTAGTTGACTTACCATTTCTAGTATTTACCTTGTTTGATATGGACAGATTGTTTACAGATTTTTGCCAAATTTATAGGCTAACTTATAAGTGTTTCCATATTTCTTGTATAGTTAACTTTCCTATTAAGACTCTTGAATATATATAATATAGGTCCCTCAAGCTGTAACCAGATTATTAAAAATGCAAGAGATTCTTTTACCTACTGATATGCCGATTTACAAATTCTAAATGCAAGGATTTTAAAGTATTGTGTATTTTTCTGCACATTGTTTGTTCATCAATAATTCCCAGTTTCCAAGGGAAATTAACTCCTAACTTAAAACACCGCCTTAAGAATTCCAAGCTTTCGACAAAACAGACTACATGAACTCAATTACTAGATTGAGATAACAAAACAATACCTGTGCGCAAGTCCTCGTGACAATGCTATTAGTGCTGGTTTCACCTCCTTTCTGATGAACACGGTAGTGGCGGGTAACTGTTCCATGAGCTGCTTCAGCTTCAATAGTCTTTCCATCTGGGCACACTTGGAAAAAAATTCAATTACTCATATACCCAAAAAGAAAATACAAGATAATTTAAAATTATAGTTGGGGGTTTTATCACGGTAGCTGACAGCGTTACAAACATAATGAATTGTTCGAAGTTGTATACTGTAACCACTATAAGAACAAATTTCATGTAGTATCGTAATGGCTTTATATAAATTTTGTTTCGAGTTAAAAATTTTATTCAACTAATTTACAAATTACAATAATGTCATGTTAGTAAAACTTTATGTAAATTCATGAATCATTAATCAACAAGACCTAGTTTTCCGCATCCCATACAAATTGTCCAAGAACATCTGCAATTAAAGCTTCTATCTTCTAAGAGATGATGGATATACCCTTTTGAAAGAAGGCTAAAGAAATACTGAAGAAGAATCTGAAAAGTATTTTTTTTATTCACGAAAATTTAGCCATCAAAGACAGCATTTCTTCAGTTTTTACTTTGTTTTAGTCAAAAGCAGCAATTACAATTTTCCATTACGCCCACAAGTTCTTATTTTCTTTGATGCTTCAGCAGCCTGCATCAAAACCACCTGAGCACTACAGTACACCATTTCTCTTTCAGATATTTAGTCTTTCTGAAATTGAATTACAACTTTTTTTCAGAACATTATTTGATTTCCATCCATGTTAAGACTTACTGCTCAGAGATTTCACAAGATTATATCCAACAAAAATGTCCCTAATGGTTGTTACATTGTGGGTGCTTGTGCATGGATGCTGTGCCTGTCTTATTCCTTTTATCTTTTCTATGTATGAGGCCATTAGGCTATGGTGCATGTGCATAGGTGCTGTTCTCTATCTATTTATGGATGTGTTTAGTTGAGAGGGGAGAGAATATACCAGCACTGATGTCATCAACCCAAGAGATCCAAACCCTGTCCCGTGCAAAAAAGGGAAAAAAAGCTTAGCAAATCAACAAAGGAAAATGAAGCATGGCATTAAAAACCTTAGATAGAAATTTCTCAATGAAATGCCTCTTTTACTTTCAGAGAAGCAGCTGCTTATAATTATATATGAAGCAGATGTAATAATCTTAAATATGCTAGACTTTGGGCTAAGAAATCACTTTGCACATCACCATCATAGTTTTTGCATGCCCATACATAACCTCCTTCGCTTTTTAGAGCATAAGCAACCATATCATCAATAAGACGGTGCTCATACCAACAACACAGCAAAGCTAGTTATGCTAGTGTAGTTACTCCAAATAAGAACAATAGAAAACTGCAATGGGTACTGTATCTCACCAAACACTTTCTGCCTCAAACTTGGATTTCCATTGAGTTTCATAAACTTCCTGGAAAATGTCTTTAAATCTTCAGAAAAAAGAAAAACATCAGAAATCACCAAATTATAGAAATACATGGTTACAAATATCAAATAAGAAGTAAGAATGTGAAAAAAACAAAAAACCATATCATGCAAATGCAAACCTTCCATCATAACTCTTCATAATTGTATTTTTTGTGCTAAGATAAAGTGGCCATTTTTTCTGGTAAGCATTGTTCATTGAAGACTCGGCAAAAGCACAAATAGACTGTTTTCAATTCAAAGCCATAATAATAGTTAATGGATTCTAGAAGCCTGTTGGGCATACATGTCACATGTTGAACATGTACCTCATCAGTGTTGTACATGGACAAAGCTACACCGCCAGAACCTTTGAAGTTGAAAACCTCGAGCTCCTTCTTCCCACCACTTGTATCAGGAACCGCAAAAATAAAGAGTCATGAGATAAAATAAGATTAAAGTAAGATGAATATGGGTTTTCCTCTGCAGAAAATCTGCTAGGCCATGTCAAAGTACAAAACCTATAGATTGACAGAGTTTCTCTGTTAAAATAGGAGATTACCAAAAACAAGCACGAGTTTTCCAGGTTCTTGGACAACTAAATCGGTTGCTCGGTACTGATCACCAAAAGTATGCCTCCCGATGCAGATTGGCTTGGTCCAGCCTGAAATGTTTTAGATGAATAAAACAAATAACAGTGATGATAAGAATAATCATGGTTTTGAGAACCGGACCGGTTAATGAATCGGTCATGCTACCGGTTTATTGGTTTAACCGATCGAATCGGTCCGACCGATCGGAAGAATCGGACGACGTCATAATTATTTAAAAAATTAAATAAAAATACTAAAAATATTTAATAAAAAATAATTTTTTATATCACAAATCATATTCAAAACAAGTTATAACATATATAAATTAAAAACCATAAAATCAAGTGAAATAAAATGATTCAAATTAACTACAACATAATATTTAAGGTAAAACATATTAAATAATAAATATAATTATATAATTATAATTAAAAAATAAATTTGGGGCTAAAAAAATCATAACAAAAATGATATTGTTTGGTTTAATTTTTTTAAAAAACAATCCCATATGACTAAGAAACATAGAAGAGCATCCCAAAAGTCTAAAGAGAAAATATGAGAACAAAACAATCTCACATTGCTAAGAAACATAGAAGAGCATCACAATTAACTTCTATAAATAATAGAGGTAATTTGATATTCAAAATCATGGAGCCTTTTGGTGAGCATTGAGTGAACTATTCTTTCACTTCAATCAAGCTCGAATTTTAGGCTTCAATAGAGCTTCTAATTTTTTTTTAGTTCAAGCTTTTTTGAGTTCAAGTTTTAATATTATATTTCGAGTTCGAGTTGAACTTGATAATTTTTTAACTTGTGAGTTTGAGTGGAGTTGAGCTTACTTTTAAAGTTTTCAAGTTCGAGTTGAGCTCAGCAATACTCGAGTTCGACTTGGCTCGCTTAACAAACGACGTTTGGTTTAATTTTTTTTTTAAAAAAAACAAAATTTCCGGTTTTTTCGATTTTTTCTGGTCCAGTTCGAACGGTTCAGCGGTTCTGGCCAGTTCACTAGTAGCGGTTCAACCGGTTTAGATTGAACCGGACTAGGCAACGGTTCCCGATTGAACCGACCGATCCGATCTGATTTTCAAAACATTGCTTGTAGCATATCTTTTATTTTTTTTTCTAGATTGAATTTAATAATATTTTTTATTACTTTTATTTAGTTATCTTATTGATCTAAACATATTTTGGATTCTCAAGTTGATTCTATTTTATTAATAAACATTACAATCACCGAAGATAAATCACGATTGAAATATAATAAAATTAATTTGCTAAAGTGTCGCACTCATTGTGGACAATGACATTTATTTGTATTTATCACATTTTAATTGTATGATTAGGTTTTTAATTTTTTATGATATTATTTTGTTCTTTTAATTTTATTATATATTTTTCTCTATTAAATAAAATTAATGGCTATTATTAGTTAAAAAGTTAAGATAGAATTATTTAGTTTGGTTTGTATATTTTTCAAATCTTGACTAAGACTAAATTTATTCAAAAGTTAGATTCTGTTTATGAAAATCGAATCAAGTAATAGATATCATTACATTTAAACTAATATTTATGGCTCTTTCATTATAAATATTATTTTTGAAAAAATTGCTCTCGTTAATCTCTTCATAAGTCGATTATAAACCGAAATTCAATCATTACAATGAAAGAAGTAAGAGAGTATCAAAAATATTTATTCCCCATAACACATAAATTATAAAGACATGAATATTGAGTTCATTCAACATAACTAAAGCCACCAGCTACGGGACTATCATCGACTCTTAAGAGGTTGTTTGGTTCACGGCATATAATATTATCGGGGTAATGAAATCCTTACTCCCCCGTTTGGTTAGCCGGTAATTTTATTCACGGTAATATTTTATTATCAACAGTAGATTTTTTTTGGTATATTACCGAAAATGTAATTATCTCATTCTCTTAGGTATTGTTAGATTACTGACGTTTTAGACTAAAATGCCCTTAATTTTTTTCCTTTCAAAATTATCATTCTTCTGTCATTGAATAATAAAAATTCTACGAAAGTTAAATTACAAATTTATCCTTAAACTATTTTAGATTTACAAAAAAAAATCCATAATTATAATTTTATATGAAGTTCACAGGTTAAAATAAAATTTTACCCTTTCATTAAACCTATTTATCTTTTTAATTTTGTAAAAAAAAATTATATAAATTTTATGAATTTAAAAATTTCAAAGAAAATATATAAATTAATTATAGTAATATTATAGTAGAATTCAACTTGTTAAAAAAATAAATATATAATAAGGAAAATTTGGCAAAATATACATTCTAATAATCTTTTATTCCTTTAACCAAACATAGTAATCTTACATTTTTACTAAACCAACCAAACACAAAATACAATATTCCCAGTAATCATATTCTCTGATAATCTTATATTCCGTGAACCAAACGCACCTAAGTACAATACCGGACCAGAACAAGGCAGCGCATCCGAGGGGTCTATATCAATCGAGCCATGAAAAGTAATTATATTTTTAAATTGCAAGTATTGTTATAGTTTTATGGTGATTTTAGATAATAATGATTATATGAATTCATTAAGTGATTTTAACGGTAAAAGATAATATTATTTTATTAGAGATTTTGAATTCGAACATCTATATTTACAAGGTGTGTGTTATCAATTAGTTAAAAATATTTTGAACATATATTATCTTATACCCCTCGACTATTAAAAAAATATTACAACAAGATCATTATGTTATTTAATCACCAGTATTCTATATATTGATTGATTAATCCAAATCAGATATTATATAAACTTAATATAAAAACTTATTATAAAATGACTCTTTATTTAATTTATTCTTATCACAATATTAGAATTTTAATCTTTAATATTATTTAAAGGATTTAGTATCCTATCTGGTTAAACCAACTTATTGTTGGTCGCAACATATATGCTCTACAATTTAATTAGCTTAAGCATAGCCTTCATACAGCATTATAAGTGCTTCATTATTGATCCCTAATTGATGGTCCGGATTTTAGTTAATAGCTACTCTATCCTATGCTTTATGTAGTATATATGATCTTAAGCCATGGCCCATGCATTGTTTCACATCCACCGACATCTATATCTACTTTTCTTTTCAATATTCATGTTATTAATTCTTTCATGATTGAATTAATTTTTCATTTTTTTGAAATATGAATTAAATTTTTATTTTTACTTTCGTTTTAGCAAAGTGTAAAATAATATTTTTAAAAAAATTAACAGTGAATGAATTAAGTGGGAAGTTATTTCTGCAACATCAGCCATTATTAGGCACACAAATTCCGAACAATCATATGTTCCTATAAAATCACTCTAATTAGATACTTACATATTAAAACCAGAAATATAACGAGTTGCTTCATTTCATCGTTGTGTTCTGCTATGTCTTGCTTTTCTCATTCCTCATTCTGTCATTGACGAGAAGACTGATATAAAATAAAGGGTAAAATGAATTAGTGCTTGGGGATTGTAAATTAGGAATTTTATATGAAATAAAAAATTAAAATATATATATATATCCTATTTGAATTATTATATGGTTTAAGTCATCACCATCACGGTTTGTAGTATTAATGTCATTATCCCGTTAATAACTTAACGATAGAGTGATGTAATTGATGTAAAACAAAAAATTAATATTATAATTGATAAAATTAAAAGTTCAATCACATTAACGAATTAATATATAAAGTTAAGTGGTATCCAATATGATTTATACTAATTATTTATACCTTGTTTAAGATGTACTATATTCACGGTTTCTCTCCGTCTTTCTCAAAGAAAGAAACCAAAAAATAAAACCTTCTTAGATATTTTTTTTCTTCTGTTTAGCAAATTACAGTGCATTCGACGGCTCTCATATTTGTCTGCAGAAATCAGGTTAAAGTTAAAGCTCTCTTCCATATATAGTTTTTCTTCATCTCTCATTATTACCTTTTTCATTGTGTTCAATGTTTAGATTCAGACCCACGCAATTATATCCATCCATATATCTATTATGTTATAGATTATTGAACTTTTATTTGATTTCTCCTTTAGATTATTGAGTTTTGCTTTTAGCTTCTGGACATCGGTGATGTTGGGCGCTTTAAGGAGAAAAGTTGCGACCGGAGGTTCATCAGCCTCATTTAGAACTTTTATTTTTTTAAATTGTGGTTTGTTCAGCTAAAGCACTTGGATTTTATTAGTTCTTGTTTCCATTTCTTTTACAGGTATTAGGGAAGTCCTTGCAGGTGATTCGGCCGAGCGTTTCAGCATCTAGAGTGTCTTCAAATGCTGGAAAAGAGGTAAATAGTTCAGCTGAGTATGAATATGATTCGATAAACATGCTTGTGGCTCAGTTTCTCTTAAATTTTGATTGACGTCGATATTTGATGTTATTAAACCTTTAATCTATGTGGAAGATGTTTGGATTTTTATCATACAAAAGTAAGCATTCTCACGAGAATTAATTCAAGTGTTTGAACAGATTCTGTTACTTCAGCCGGGAGGAATTGTCAATGTCCGCAACTTCTCTCATCTTGTTCTGCCAGGTAAAACTTTTGCTTTGTTTTCTTCTCATTTTGGTAAATTCTGTTGATTGTCTTTGTTATTAATTGAAATTATTTCTTCTTTATTGCAGGCTCTTCTGCTGGTTTGACAAAGACAAGGTTAGTTGGTACTGAACTTTTGTAACCCGCGTTAATTCTTATGAATTATACTGTCACTGGTTTGTCATTTCATATCATGGTGAGGGTATGAGTGAACTGCTGGAGTGATCTGATTCATGTAGTGTAATTACCATATCTATC